GGGGGGGGAGGAATGTTGGGGGGAGGGGACCTGGGAGAGCCCATCTTTGGGTGTGCTGGAGGAAGGCAGAGGAGATGTGACAATTACCACCAACAGTTTAAACAAACAAATTAATTCAGGGCAATCTTCCGCCTGCGGAGCTGACAACTTGTCAGTACATAAGTTCAACAGGTTTCTTCTGCTTCCTGCTCAGCACAGGATAGGCTGGGGGGGGGGGCGCTGTGCCTTTGGTGGCTGTTACCTGGCCCACACCACTTCCATCTCGCCCCTCCAACCTCTTGCCCAGGTTCCTCAACCCCACCTGAGCCCTGGAAACATTCTTGCCAAGACACAATGACAGAGGAGGACACAAGGACACAGCTTGGATTGTGCCCTATGCCCAGGAAGCATTCTGAAGTCTCAGATCTTGAGCATGTTTGAACCTGGGTGGTGAGCCTGCCCCTGGGTGTCAGTCACCCAGCCTTTTCCCACCCTTTTCTCGGTTTTCTGTAGAATGGAGTGAAGGAACTGGAAAAACCCAGGCTAGCCCAAACTGTGAATTTGCAATGAGTTCAATGTATTCCCATTTCTTCTCTCCAGCTACACCAATACACCACAATCTCTCATCTCCCCCTCCCTCCTTCCAGGGACACTTTTGAGACTGAGCTTCTAGAAGAGCCACCAAGAACTAAAAAGAGAAGCATGAAGAGGGATTGAGATACCAGGCAGGAAATATCTTCCCTGTGTCCCTAGAGGCACTGAGTCCCCCAGTCTCTGCCTTTGTGCCAGTAATTTAGGGGAGCAAATTTCCACTGTGAGCATCAGTCTTGTCCTGGAGACTTCAGTGGGGTCAGCCTGGAACTCATGTAGAGAGGATATGGTCAATTCCCAGCATCTGGGAAGATGTATTCTGTTGGGAGCTAGCTAATATGCATAGGAGTATCATGTGTTTTCTATGCATATAGTTTATTTATCCATCAACCTCACAAGAATAAATGGATTGCTGATTACCATCTTTGTTCATGTTGACTTCCAAACACTTCTTCAGCCGACATGCCCTGCATTGGTTTCTGTGTGTCTTGTCTACTGGGCAGCCTCCCTGGAAAAAAAAAGAGAGAGAGAGAGAGCACAGCTGGTCAGAGATCCTCTGGGTCCTTTAGAAGAGGAGCAGAAATGGTGACTGGAGGAAAGAATCACCTTGGGGACCCTCACCTGGCAACAAACCCTGGAGTTACCAGATTGGGCTAGGGAGAGCCTTGGGCACTGGTAAGATTAGAAAAGGAGCTGGGATTTCCCAGGCTACAAGAGGGTCAGTCTTCTACCCATGGAATCTGACAAAGAAAAACAAACAAACCAAAACTCCTATCAGGTGAAGTCTTCGCATGCCTGGTTTGTCAGATTTCCCAGAGGAGAACTTCAGTCAGTAGGGACATTGTGGAACCTGGACAGGACTTTCCAGGACTGAAGAGAGTAACAGGGCTCTGAGCTCCATGAGAAACCAGTTTCTGGAATCCCTCTCCCAACATTATTCTTTCCACTTTCAGGTCTTGAATCTACTTCTTGCTGCCAACCTATGAATTTACCTGATGCAAATATCTCCTATTCATTCTTCCTTCTTCTCTAATCTCCCTTTTGCTTTGGTTCCCAAAATCATCCTTACAAACAGCATGTTGAAACAACTCTAAAGTTTTAAAGACGAGCCTGGTTCCAGATTTATGGAAACATCCATTTCCCCAAAATGAGGCAGTAAGCAGAATGATTAGGGAGTCAAGGTCTATAAAAGATGAAGATGTGAAGGGAACCAGTTCCAGGCCTAGAGAAAGTTCTAGAAATGGTCATTGTGTAAATATGTCTAGAAAAATAATATGATAGGCTGATTGGCAGAGTGAAAGTACAGATTGCAAATCATCAGACTAAGTGATTTAAAAAAGGTAGTCACTACTTTAGAAATATTTGTATGATAGGAAAAAGTAAAATCCTTACTTAAAACAATTTTCTAGGAAAAAAATTTTGATCATAAAAGAGAAACTTAACAAAGTTTCTTCCAGACTTTATCCAATGTTACATTTTGTTACTGAAAAAACATATAGATACATAGAGTCCTATGTACATATGTTTGTTTGATTTTTTAAATTTTTTATAGTACCGGGATTGAATCCAGGACACCTGCTATAACTACTCTACCACTGAACATCCCTAACACAGATAATTATCTAAGAAGTTTGATACTCTCTTATATTTCTTTTTTTAACTGTTTTTTGTCTTTTCTGGATCTGGGGGGGAGGGGTGTCGAATCTAGGATGTCGCAGTTGCTAGTCAAGCATTTGCCATTGAACTACATCCCAGCCCCTCTCTCATCTTTCTATAAATTGCCACTATTATATTTGTAAAGAATAATTAAAATAATAAAATGCATGTAATTGTGTGTATGTGTGTGTGTGTGTGTGTGTCCTAAGATTTGAACTCTGAGCCTTAGCACTTTTCCTGAGTGATTTTGCTAGTGCTCTATCACTTGAACCACAGCTCCACTTATGGCTTTTGGTGGTTAATTGAAGAGTCTTTTCTGCCCAAATTCACTTCAAAAGACCTCAGCCTCCTGAGTAGCTAAGAGGCATGAGCCACCGATGCTGTGGCCACTACTACATATTTTAATTTGCTTTGCAATCTCAAATTTTCATATACTCTGAAATTACAATGAGTACATTTCCCCTGAAATATTTTTAGGAAAAAAATTCTCTAGAATGTACTTTTATGTGGCCTCCCTTCTTAGACACAAGATCCTGTGTTCAATCCTTAGTACAAAAAAACAAAAGCTAAAAAAAAGTATTGAAAATCAAGGTGTAACAGATGTTAAAACAATTTCTAAATGCCTGCATTACTGTTAATAATAAATTGAAATAGTGCTTAACCAGTGTTAGAACAAAAAGGAAGGACATAAATAATTTTTGGTTCCTAAGAAATTCTTCAGGCCAATGTAAATACCTCAATGTGAAGGAGGCTTAAAGAACTTGTTATAAAATGCGATCAAATGTCCCACTGCAGCACCATCTTCCCAGTATTCTGCTAAACATGCAATTGCAAAATGGAAGCCTTCATTAGTTCTTAAGTATGTCTTCAAATCAGACCAAATGTATATAAATATCTGTCGCCTAAGAGCAGGAAGAATGAGCTTCTCAGCTTGGCCCCTTTATTCTCTTTGCAAGAAGAGAAACATGGGACCTGATGAGTCTATTATCACTCCTTTCCAAGCGCTTGGATTGATATCAATGTGTTAAAATTGATAGCCATTTGCTTTTAAAATTCCAAGCATAATATCAGAGATAACATCTAGATACAAGTGAAAGATAACCTAAGTAGACGACTGTTTGAATCTGACACCCAACAGTAATTGTAGCCCTATGGAGCTCTTGGGGTACAGTCCTATGTGAGTGTATAATGTGATGCATCCCTGGGGAGAAGCTAGACACGGATACAGATCTGAGTGTCCAGTTAAACAGGTAAGAGGGCTGAGAGTTGAAAATAACTTATCCAAATGCAAATGTCTTCTCATTTTTGCCACCAATCCAAATCTGTCAGAAATGGAAGTGAGCAGGCATGCCTTCAGAAAAAGAGTCAAATCTCTAGTGTCAGACTGTCTGTGTGTCTGTTAGCATGCATTATAAACATTAATTAATGGAAGCTTTTTTACAATTCAGTTACAAAGGACAATTCTTAGAAGTGAAGGCAGAGGCCTCTTGTGCTGAAGTCTGTGTGTCTAGCAGAGGAGAGAGAAAAGTATGGCACTAGAAAGTTGATCTCCTAGGTTGAAATGAATCCACTGCAGAGCAGGAAACTGAGTCAGTCAAGGAATCCTGCTTATTCTATGGGGAAGCTTAGTTTCACACTCAGTTCATATCCTGAGTGTCTGGCTTCTTTAAGGTAGTTCTGTAGCCCAGTGTTGGTGGCTCACCCCAGCAATCCTAGCTACTCAGAAGACTGAGGGATGAGGATCACAGTTTAAAGCCAGTCCCAGGCAAGGAATTCTGTGAGACTCTCATCTCCAAGTAAACACCAAAAAGCTGGAAGTGGAGCTATGGCTCAAGTGGAAGAGCACTAGCCTTGAGCAAAATCACTTAGGGACAGTGCCTAGGTCCTGAGCTCAAGCCCCAGGGGAAAAACAAAAAGCTAGCTCTGCCTGCTTTGGACCAAAGCATAACCAACCAGGCACCTCTCTCTCTCTCTCTCTCTCTCTCTCTCTCTCTCTCTCTCTGAAGATGGAAGAGGATACAGGAACCTGGAAGGATGCCAACTACACTTTTCTCTGAGTCTTCTTTTCTTAACCACCCTGCCTTTTCCCAACAAATCCCAGCAAAAGTTCTAAGAGTTCTAAAGCTCTTATCACCCAGTTCTAGAGCAGCCCTGCTTCCCAGGAGCCAAAAGAGTGTGAACTAGCACCTCTGAAGTTAGCTAAAGGTGTCAGTGATTGTGCTCAAATTACCATGTGTGGGAGGGCAGGGGGGGCACAGAAATGGAGGGATGAAGATCGAACAAAATGCAGCCATGGTGCTCACTGGACACTGTTGAAAATAAACTATATACAACTTGTGGATGGGGGTGTGAGGGAAAAATCGGGAAGGGGTGACATTGTCCGAAAAGAAATGTACTCTTTACAAGACTTAGGCAACTGTTACCTGTCTGCACATCATCTTTAGAATAAGAATATAATTTAAAAACAAATTCCTATGTGCCTTCTTCTGTCATTCCAGGCTGTGGGAGCCTGAGCTTGGGTGCTGGCAGATGTGTGTGTGTGTGTGTGTGTGTGTGTGTGTGTGTGTGTGTGTGTGTGTGTAACAGGCTGGCAACAAAACATGGCTTTCATCTGCTTGCCACTTGCAGTTTAGATTCTGAAGTTCTTTAGGCCCCCTGGGCTGGCTTCATAGCCAGTAGTGTGTCAATATCTAATAGGGGTTTAAAGAAATAATAAGGTATGGGAAGGCTGTGGGAGTTCAGACTTCCTTTCTCTAAGTGCATCTGTCCGTCCCTTAACTTAGCCCCACTACCCAGCGCCCAACAGCCTCCAGAGTTGAGGCAGCAGGAGGGGAGAGGAAGGGAGAGGTCAGCGTCTGCCTCCCCTCTGCAGAGTGGAAACTTAGAAGAGGCCTTGGCACAAAGGAAGGAGAGGTGGCAGAGGGGAGCCGGCAGCCAAGCTCTAGGCTAAAGGTACCTGGTTTCCAGACTTGCAGACGTACGTCCTGTTCCTCCGGATACTCCGCTTGAAAAACCCGGAGCAGCCGTCGCAAGCGTAGACGCCGTAGTGTTTCCCGGAGCTGCGGTCACCGCACACTTTGCAGGGGATATCTAAAATGCGGCCTGAAATCGCAGAAACGAAGGGGAAGGCGGGAAGGAGCGACCAGCAGAGGAGGGCGGAGAAGAGGGAGGAAAGGGGAGAGGGAGAGAGGGATGCTAAGCAATCTGACCTCTGAAGGGATTAGCATCGAAGCTGCGGTAAAAGCAAATAATGAAGTGATTTTATAGCCAAACTTTTTTTCCTTGAGCAAGTGTCAGTTTCCTACAATGAGCATTATTCATGCACCGCTACTTGTATTTGGGTCTCCTCTAATCGCCGAGACCCATTTTGGAATAAAAGATTACAGCAGGCCCCGGCGGCGGCATAGCTCGCTGTTGCCTTTCTGCTCCGGGGGAAAGTTTTGGCCGCCTCCCTCCTCTGCTCTTGCATTTAACAGAGGAAAGTTGTTAGTGAGCGCTTGAGGAGACAAACTTGAAATGTAAAAGGGAAAAGAAGAAAAACAAACACGGCTGGAACCAGGGACGGCAGCTGGAAGGCAATCGAGTTTTCATGCAGCTCTGCCCGGCGGTCGTTATTATTAGGATTATTATTGTGATGCTAATACTCAGTTTATTAATGATAATAAGGGTAGTGGTAATTGCCCAACTTTCTCTTTACCTATTTTTAAAAACGTTTGGTGGATAGCTTTTGAGAGCTTTTTTTTTTTTGCTCCCAAAATGTCTCTGCAAAGTAGCAAGAGTCTAGGCAAGCCTGTGGACAGCATGCAAGTTGATGCATCCCCAAACTGGTTACTGTGGGACATTGCCCCTTCTCTCCCTTCCTCCCAAGTCCTTTCTCCCTGAAGACTGGCCTACCCCCCACCCCCCTTGGGCCTGTGTATGTCTTTCTCCAGTGTCCCCCCCCCCTTCATCACTAGTCAAGGCTGATTATTTTTCCTTTTCCTTGATAGACTGTTTTCTCTAGACTGTGTCCTTTAGCCCCATTGGACTCTGGCTGGAGAGAACTTTCCTTGCAATCCTGCAAGCCGGCGGTGCCCAGGACCCTCAATGAACGTTAGAAAGAAGGTAATAAGAAAAGGGGGAAATTGTTTTTCTCTTAGGTTCTAGAGTCCAAAAGTTCCTGAAGTGGTTTATAAGAACTTAGAAATCTGCAGAACTTAGGGAGTATTTTAAGAAGCGTTAACACTTTAATCTTTTTAAGTTTATAGTAATTAACTTATTAATTAACTTGATTTTTTCCATAGCTTCCTCTCCACAGGCCTCTAACCTGGGCCCTGGAGGTCTCCAGACAACTGCTCCAAGAGTGCCTAGGTTGGGGTCCAGAAAGGCTGGGTGCTAGGATGACTGGGAAAGGGGGGCCAGGAAGGTGAGGGTGCTGCCTGGGTAGATTCCTGAGGCATGGGGGGCGGGGAACCTGCTCTGGGATTCTGAGTCGTGGGAGTGGGCTGGCAGCCTGAGCCTGGACCCTGCTCTCAGGTGCCTGGGGGTAGAGGGAGCGTGGGGGGAGTGGACAGGGGTGGGGGGTCGGGAAGGACTAGGCTCAGCCGGGGTAATTACAACCCCGCCACAGCACCTGCCTTTAGAGCCACCAGTGACCCGTCAAAAAGAGTAGCATGGGAATTCAGACGACGACAAAGGCCGGCGAGGGAGGCGCTGGGCGCTGCGGTCACCTCCTCCGTGCCCCCTCTCTCGCAGGGTGGGAGGAGAGTTGGGGCTGGGAGTGGGAGGGAGGGTCTGCAAGCGAGCCGAGCGAGCGAGGCCGCAGTGGTCTGGTCGTCCACCTTCTCCGGCCTGTCACCCGGCCTAAAGGAACTCATGGTCTCCTCGGAGCCAGGGTCGCTTTCCTTTACTGCACCACCGCCCTCACGCTCGAAGCAGTAAACTAAAGTTTCCATATTCTGCAAGCATCCTCCTTCGCAGAGCACACTCAGTCGGCTCACACCGGGTCCATGTTGAGGGCCCAGCAGTACTGTCACCCCAGCTCTCCTCTGGCCGGTGGCCCTGGGGGAGAAGGGGCGGATGTCTCCCCTCCCCCATGCAGACTGGAGGTCAAGGACTTGTCTCTTTGGAGAACCCAACGGTAGTGTTAGGAAGATGAGTACGAGGCTGGTGACCCTCCGCGGACTGGACCCCGGGACAGTCGCCCCTTGGGTTGCCACCGCCGCCGACCGGCCTGGTAATGGAAACAGAGCTCCGAGCCGGGGTTCCCAGGGCAGATTAGAGCCAGGGAACGGGACTGGGGCGGGGCACGGCAGGGAGGGAAGCAAGAATTCCAGCGCATAGCGGGTCTGCGCCGCAGACCCAGCCACGCAGCCACGTTAAGGTGACTTGGGGTCACGAGACAAGCTGGTTGACCCTGTTGCAAAGCTTCTCTCATTTAACAAGCAGAGCGAGCTCCGACGTGAGGCCAGCCAGAGTTTCCTGAGGCTGGAAACCGTTCTTAACTTCCCTCGCCAGGGGGTCCCTTCGGGGCTTTTTGTGTGTCATAATTGCCTAAAGATATATGGCAGCTTCGATTACTGTAATTACCATCAGAGGCTGTTGAAAGAAGTTAGTCTGGACTGCAGGGGTGACTGCCCAGGGTCTTGTTACCACCCAGGCAGGGCTCGGGGTGACATCGCGCTGCCCTCTAGCCGGCCAAAGCGGAACGAGGTGGGAGACCTCCCTGCCCGCTTGTTCCTGACCTACCCAGTAGCGCGCCGACCCCCTGGCTGCCGGGGGCCGCAGGGCCGCAGGTTTCTGCCAGCTGCCGCGGCGGGTGTGCGGTGAG